AAAAGCAATAGATCAGTTAATGGAGTTTGTAAGTTTTATGCAAATGATGAAAATGGTAATGGATCAGTTGATGAAATTTGTAAGTTAATTATGAAATCATTAGTGTTGAAAAGCTAAGAAGAAAAATTATGAATGATGAGATTAAAAAGAGATCATAGGGCAGTTGTGATAACCTAAGAGATTGAAAAAGAAGGATTTGTGAACTTGAATAATGAAGACACCTGAATGATCTTGAAAATCTTTTTTGCCACAATTAGAATTACATTCATAAACATTACACTCATGTAATTTGTTTGGTAAAAAGTTATGATCTTAGATCTTGAAATGGTGAGAATGTGAAATATTTTTAATTGATGATAAGTTTTTCTAAAGATGAGATTTTAATCCTCAATGGAAATTAATTTTCGAAGATAAAATTTTGATTTCTGATAAAAAATTTTTGGAAAAATAAGTAAGGTAATAATCTTCAATTGAGGAAATATTTTGCAAAAATAAAGCCTTTTGATGATGTTTTAATCCTTGTATGAGGAAAACTTTGCAAAGGATAAAGTTTGAAACCTTTGGATGAAGAAAATGATTTTGAAAAGAGTTGGTAAACATTGGTTAATGAGCTTTTTCAATTTTTAAAGTTTCATAGCCTTTATTTGAAGAGGTTTTTTATTTCAAGGTGAGAATCTCTTATGCGAATCCTTGAGAGATTGAATTTTAGATTTGAATTTTTCAATTAAGAATATTTGAATCTTGGATGTTAATCTTTAAGATTTTCAAATGTGAATCTTTGAATCTATGATGCAAATCTTGAAATTTATGTAAATCTCAAGAACCTTTCAATAAGAATCTCGAATCCTCGATTTGAATATTTGAATGAACCATTGATCTCTTTCAAATAAAAATGTTTTTTTTATATTTTAAAAATTATTGAGCCTCTGATAAGAAAAGCATTTTTTTTTATATTTTTCAAAGTTGTTAATTCTTTGTCTGTAAGATTTTATTAGGATAAGATTTTAAAACTATTAACCTTTTTTTAAATGTGAATTTTCTTTGATGAGAATTTTTAAAAAAATTTAAATGCCCTTTTGAATCTTAGATGTGAATTTCTAAGATTTTTGAACGAGAACCTTAATATTGGTTTGAATCTTTGAAAGTTTTAATTGTGAATCTTTGAATCACTTATGAATCTTTAAAATCTTAAATTTTTGCAAATCATGAATCACTTGTAAATCTTGAAATTTGTGAATCTTTGAACTTTTGTGAATTTTTAAATATTTGTGAATCTTAAATCACTTATGAATCTTTAAATCTCTTGTAAATCTTGAATTTTTGTGAATCTTGAATATTTTGTGAATTTTTGAAAATGTTTTGTCAATCTTGAATCACTTGCAAATCTGAAATCTCTTGCAAATCTTTACACTTTTGTAAATCTTGAATTTTTTAAAATCTTGAATCTTTTGCGAACTTTGAACTTTTGTAAATCTTTGAATTCAATTTATTTATGAATCTTTGAACTTTTGGGAGAACCTTGAATGTTTTGCAAGACTTTATATTCAAATTAAGAATCTTTGAATTTAATCGTGAACTTTTGAATTTCAAGTTAAGGATTCTAGAATTTCAAATTGCGAATGTTTAAATTTTTAGTTGCGAATCGCAAATATTTATTGTTTAAGAATCTCTAAATTTTTCCTTTGTATCAAATCCAGATGTAATGTTTATTTATATCTTTGCACAATTCTTATTTCACAAAAAATGCGCAAAGAAGGGCAATTCTAAACACCTTATTTAATTCATGGTCAATTTATATTTTAAGATTATGATTTGATTTTTTTTATTTATTTTTGGTATTGTATTCAGTTTAGAGTTATTATAATTATTTTTAAAAAGAGAGAAAAATTGTTTTACTAAAACTTGAAGAGGGTTTAATTCTAATCGGGTTGTTGAATTAAAATTGTTTTAATTGAAAAATGACTATAAAAAGGGAATTGGTTTGAAATGTGGATTTGAATTAAAAATCCAAGATTGAAATTAATTAGGAGATTCAAACCAAGAACACTTATTTTCCTATTGTAATTGAGATTATAGACCTATAAAAAACTTCATTAGGATCAATTAAAAACAATAAAGAATCAAGCAAAAAAATAGAGAGAAAGAGTAAAAAAAAAGTAAAAAAATTAGGAGTTTTTTTATAGTCTTTTCTAGTGTTTTGAGTTTAGATATGTAGGATGTTCTTTTGAGAGTTCTGTGCTAGGAAAAGTAGTTGAGAATAAACATAAAAGGGAGGCATTCAACAAAAAGTTTTGGCAACAAAATTTTTTATTATTTCGGGTATATATAATTTAGGTTTCTATTTAATTTTCATTTAAACTAGGAAGAAAGGCAATCACCATAGGTAAGGAACGCTAACAAAGCCATAAACTATTTTGTAGAAAAGCAAAAAAAAAAAAAAGATAAAAGGGTGAAAAAGCAAGAAAAGTAAAAGGAGATTGACCCAATTTGAAGATCCAATCCAATAAAAAGCCTAAATCGTAACTAGTTCCATCAACTAGCAAATTAAAATGGGCAAATACAATTGCAAAAACCCATGTGCTTTGGAATCAGTTATGGCTTAATTTTTAGTAGTTACTTTGTACTTGTCTTTTTCTTAAGTTCTAGTTGTTTTTGCATTTTATCATATTATTTATTTATTTGACTATTTATGTATTTAATTATTTGTAAATATTTAAAAAAAAAAAGAAGAAAAGAGGAAAAAATATTTTTTTAAATAAAATAAAAAAAGACATATTGAAATGTTCAAATTTTCTTTAAATAAATGTTTAAATAAAAAGAGTCTTATCAACATATTGAAAAGATTCGAATTTTTAATAAATTATTTTAATAAAACAAAAAACCTTACCAATATATTAGAAAATAATTTGATTTTTAAAATAAATTTTACTAACATATTGAAAAACTTTATTATTTTTAAATAAAAATTAAATTTTAAAAAATAAATAATTTTTCATAAAATCCTAACAACATATTGGCTGATAATTTCTTGCAAAAAATCTTACAAATATATTGGAGAATATTTCTAGAAATAAAAAAGTTTTTTAAAAAGATAGATTTTCAATCTCTAATGATGGAATCATTAAGAATGTTATAAATAGTAATCTTTATGTAAATTTTTAGGTGAGAAATTCTTTCTAAATGTTACCAACATATTAAAGAATTTAAAAAAGATTTTTAATATTAAGATTCTCACAAAAATGTCAATTATCACAAGTAAAATTTTTTTACAAAAATTAAATGAATCCGACGACGGATACTCTTTAAAATATGACAAATAATCTCTTTGAATACTCCTAATATGATGGGATGTTTTTGAATTATTACTAATATATTGAAATAATTTAGGGATAAATTTTTATATTAAATTACTTGGTAAGTTTTATTAAGTTTTTGGATAACATGAAATCATAACGGCACCATCCTTTGGGTAGGTGATGTAAGGGTATTATAATTTTCTCATACATAACCATACTTTCATACTTAGTCATGATTTTATAGATATAAATCTATCTTTTAAATATATATAAATTAAGCTTAAAATATCTCTTTAAAATGAAATAAATTCAAATAAATCATCAATCGTATTTAAATAAAAGATTAATAACGATTTATTTTTTAATAATAAGTCTACGTATTTATATATTATAACATATATTACAAAGTGACTTTGGTTTTCTATTAAAATATTTGTTTTCTATCGTGTCTATCCAAAGAATTCGATCCATCCTTGGTAGAAGTAATTCTTCCTTGTAAAAAACCTATTTTGATACTAAGGGGGTTGATAACCCACAGCGGAAGGCACTCTACTCGATAAGGCAGGTACTTTGGATCCCGCTTGGACAGAGCAAAAGATATCGTCTATAAATAGAAGTACGTTTTGTTTATTAACATCTCAAAAATATTTCACCATAGTTACGGTAATCAACCCAACTCTCATACGAGCTTCTGACAGTTCATTCATCTGATCGTAGACTAAAGCTACTTTTGATTCCGCAAGATTTTGTTCATTAATTACTCCAAATTCTTTCATTTCCATGTAAAGATCATTTTCTTTACGAGTACATTCAACTACTCTTACCAAAAACGGATATACCCACATGAGCTTCGACAATGTTGTTGATCAATTCTATAATGTGTACTGTTTTACCTACCCCAACTCCCCCAAATAGTCCGATTTTTCCTCCACGAAGATAAGGAGCTAAAAGATCGACTACTTTAATATTCACTAAGATCGGTAAAAAAGCCAGCCAGTTCCTCTTGCTTCTTTCACCGAACTTGGTCTTTTCTTTAATTTCCAGGATGATATTCTTAGATTGTCCTACCTTCACAACTAAACATAATGCTTCTGTAATACTGCTTTGCCAGTATTTTGCATACCATCCAAATGAAGAATCCTTTGCTTAGATGCTTTTGATACTAAAAAATTATAAAATTTTAGTACCATAAAAAGAAAATTTAAGGGGAATCATGGAATTGCTTATTCTGAATGTTTTGATTCTTATCCTTCCAATGGAGGGCCAGGTTGATTCAACCTCCACTCTGGTTACTTTATGCAAAACATTTCCATACATTTTGCAGGTCTGGTAAAACAAATCTCATGTTCATGTTCAAGGTGGTAATAATATCAGCAGATAACGAAGAACGTCTTTTTGGCTTCTGGCACCACAGATTCTTAAGAATTTCAGTAGCTATATCACCACTTTTATCAGGATCGCAACTTGGGTGTGAAAATCTCCATCTGGGTTAGGATTGCATAATCCTGGAAGGATGGAACCGAAGGAAAAACATATAAGCACCGTGCAATATTTAGCGAGGACGATTCCTAAAGTGTTGGAGAAGTCATCACTAGCATGAGTGGCGCAATCAACACGAAAGAAACGAACTTTGAATGGGAAAAGACTTGTGAAGCACATTCGCTCCATATTCTATTGGAGACGGGCTAATGATCCCATCCTTACCTTATCCCAAGAATCCCCCATCCACCCACCCTTCTTTTTCATTTTAGGAGGGCCTTAATTCTCTTTCTCTTAACCTGTAGTAAGCAGTATAACTCAGTTTTCTCTCGTTCCCTCTACACCAAATTTCCATTCATTCTGCACAAATTGTGAGTAGATTTTGCTCCCACAGGTATCATTTCAGGGCTTGGAGCCTTGAACTCTGACTCTGACTCTCTGAGGCTCAAACAAATATTCTGCGTCCGCTACTTAATTTTTTTACTTTTTTTTGGGGGTTTGTTTTGGCATTTTCTGTCATTATCTGATTAAATTAAGGAGTGTCTATCATATGCGGCCAAAAGGCTAACGTTTGTGTTTACCTTTGGATTCATTGTTGCAAAAAAAAAAAAGAAAAAAAAAGAGAGATCAGATCATATGGATATTATTAAACATTTCCTCCATAGACATCCCCTGTCATTCATCGAGAAGGGAAACGAAGATCTTACATGCAGTCGATGTCTGAAACACTTGTCGGGCCCCACATACGGTTGCAGCAAGTGTAAGTTTTTCATTCACGATCACTGTGCTAAGCTTCGTCCCAAGATTGAAAATTTCTTGCACCCATGCCCTCTTGTCCTCAAGATTTTGCCACTTCCTGTTGTCTACACGTGTAATTTGTGCATCGAACCTGGCGCTGGTTCTACCTATCGTTGTGAGGAATGTAATTTTGATATGCATGTTGAATGCGCCCTACAGCCCACCATGAAATCCGAAGGTGTGGAGCTTATTCAGCACTTCACTCACTGGCATCCTTTAACACTACTTGTTCATCTGAAGAACATGGAACTGGAAGAGGATCAAGTTTGTTGTTTCATATGTCAAAAGCTGTGCTCTGCTTCTGCAACTGCTTATGGCTGCAAGCAATGCAATTTTTTCCTTCATAACTCTTGCATGACCAGCATCCCACGAAAGATCAATCATTTCTTCCACCCATGCCGTCTCATTCTGCTCACTAGTCCATTCTCTTACACTTGTGGGGGTTGTGATGAACATGCCTCAGCCTTGACCTTCAGCTGCGGAAGGTGTCGCTTCCAGCTAGATGTCAAATGCGCCTTACTTCCCACGGTAAAATCTGAAGGTTCCAAGCTGATTCGACATTTTAGTCACCAGCATCCACTAGCACTCCGTGAAAAGATGGATGGCAGCAGTAATGAAGTTCGATGCAAAGCATGTGGGGAAATTTGTTCGGGTCCTTCATATACTTTTGGTTGTAGCAGATGCAACTTCTTTTTTCACAGATCATGTGCTGTTGAATTACCACAAGAGATCCATCATCCCTTTCATCCCCAACACCCTCTCATCCTCTCGCCCTTTCCATCGCATGATTATGATTACTATTGCTCGGGATGTGGATCAGATGTCAGGTCTCTGCTAGCCTATCGCTGTAAAAAGTGCGAATTCACCCTTCATAAGGATTGTGCTAAGCTCACACCCTCTTTTAAGTATGGGCCTCACCCACACCTCCTTACTCTTTTTGATAAAACAGATGGAATTTATTGCGACATTTGTCATAAGAAAGCCAACAACTTCTGCCTTCGATGCGTGGTATGTCGTTTTAGCATCCATCTTTATTGCCATCCTTCGGTACCAAAAACAATAAACTATAAACGCCATATACATCCTTTAACTGTTACCAAATCTCCTTTTGATTATGAACTGAATTCACCTGAAGACGCTTACAATCTAGATGATGAGTTCTACTGTGACATTTGCGAGGAAAAACGAGACAAAGAAAACGATGTTTATTATTGTGAAACATGCAAATTTATTGCTGAAATGGGCTGTGTCATTTCTGTGGTAAGTTTTTGTTCTTATATTGTGCCTAAATTTAATTTTGCTGAAACCTGCTAGATATTATTTCTTGAGATTAGTTACATGAACCAATTGAGCCCAGATTCAATTTTGGCAAGCGTATTGTGTTGCATTTGTTGGACTAAGATCTCCCGATATTGAGTGGAACTTGGCCTCATCCGGTTCCTTTCTCTGTGATGAATTTTTGTATAAATTTTTTGAATGGGGATTAGATGAATTACTTGTTCTACAACTTAGAAGAAGTCTAAGAGTGGCTCGGAAATTATGTTAACAAGTCATTTTGGGATTTTCTGTAATTTTTAAAGGCTAGTTTCTGATGTCTTAATTAATTAATATTTGGTTTTTTGTCAGCTGTTACCATTCTTAACTATTGCAGAGGACCAGAGTACCGCGAGCAGCAGAATCATTTCCACAGATGAAGAGAATTCTGCAACAGACCCCATGCTTGCAAAGCTAGATGAAGAGATCGCAAAGCATAGTGAGAAGGCAAAGCCCTTAAAGGTAGAAGTTGAGTCTTTAAAAGTATTAATTCAGAAGCTGCAAGCAAGGTTAGAGGTACTTGAAGCCGAACTACAGCCAATAGCATGGGGACTAGATAAACTTCAGGAAGATCGTTACCTGTACATTTATGAGCTAAAACACAAGACGAACGAAAACCAAAATTCAGTTAAAGCTTCACCTTCAGAAGGGCTGTCTGCAAACCGGTCTTGAGTCTGTCTTGATTATGGCAGTGTCAGGTAAACGTTTTAAAGGAGAAATATAGTGTTTGAACAACGACTTAGATTATTGTAGTACCACTCAAGTTTTTCTAGTTAATCTGACTAATTGCTGCCCACTGTTAATAGCAATAGAGGTAATTTGTATTGAATAAATCATAAATAATGGGGTTTGGAGTTCATTGGCAGATCTATCTATCTATAAGACAGTAGTTTTATGATAAAATATGCATTGTTGTTTCTCAACCAAATGAATTATGCTGTGTTCTAAGTACCAGGATTTTTGTACCTTCTGTTGGTTTTTAGCGCCAAAGTTACTCTATGTTAAATATTCTAACTTCTGAGAATTCCTTTTTAAAGTAACAATTGGATGCTCAGTTTCTTTCCTTTTCCCAAAGCAACATGATAGGCAGAGTATTACACATTTTATATGCACTTTAAAGCAGGAATTGGATGCTCAGGTTGTTTCCTTTTCTCAAAGTAACATGACAGATAGGCTGGCTGTATACCTTTAGGATAATTTATTAAACCCTAATCCAAGCCAAGTATTCACTCAACTTCAAAGCCAAGTCAGAAAAAAAAATGCAAAATCAATAAGCAATTACATACTCTTAAAATTAAGGTGAGACGGTGTGTGTGCGGCCATATCTTTTCCTAAATATAATAGCTTCTCCTGTTTAGTTGATTAACAATTAGGCTAAAATAATACTAGTAAAAAAAATACTTAATTCTCATTTTTAATGCCTAAGATTGACATGAAATGGAAGGGAATGTTGTTTTCTCTTATCTCATGTCTTAACCAGTTAGCCAAACATGACAAACTGGTACTGCAATATGTCCTCCAGTCGTTACCATAGAAAAGCCATCGATGCCCAGTACTTAGCCATCTTTGTGTCCTTCCAGTCTTGTTTCGAGACCATTGTAGGACAAAATGTCAAAAAGAAGTTCTGTACCGCATTTAGTTCAGGGCTTTGGAAGGTGGGACTTACCTGGGTTGGGCCTTTTAGTTATGTAAAACCATGCTGCTATGTTTCATGGGTCTAAAGGTATGGGGTTGGACTGGTATTCACTCTCGTTTGGGTTGTATCAATGCTGTTCTTTTTAATGGAGGTTGGAATATATTTTGTACTTTTGCCGCCCAAAGAGTTCAGCCTTATGGTCTTTCCTCTTTCTCTCAGGGAAAACAAAAAAAAAAAAAAAAACTATAGTATCAGAGAGTAAGCAAGTAGAAGAACAATTGAACACTTCAAGTTTAACGGTACATGCACCAATATAAGAGCTCAGTTGAATCAAGGTTCAGCTAAGTAATGGCGTAAGCAACAAATATGAATATGAGAAGATGGTTTCTTTGGGTTGATATTTTGGTCTCAATATTGTTTTTAGAACTATTGGATGATAAAATAAAGTAATAATGAAATGGATTCGTCATCTTTCCTCATTCAAAGTGGCATTTTTGTTCTTTCATTCATGATTTCATCCATGATTTCATCCATGATCCAGCTCTTGCGGCAAACAAAGTTTGATCCTCCAAGCTGAACAAATAAGTTGGATACACCTTCCATCCATTTCATGAATCAGATGTAAAATGGTATGGAATTTCGATTTTGAAGGAAACACAGTAGTAGTAATTGGAATTAGGGCTCCTGTCAAAGAGAAGGTAGACTCGTTCACACCGGAACTAAGTTCACAAGCTAAAACAAAAAAAGCAAACGATGTCCCAACTTTCCGACAATAAACGAGTCCCATCTGATTCATGCCTCCGTGTTTTTCGTCTTATTTTTACCAATTACAAGCGTCCAAGCTCCAATCTTTCTTCCAACTTCCAACAAAAATCTCCCTTCAAAAGTTCCTGGAACGAACCTTCCTTATCCCAAATTAAAAAAAAAAAAAAAAGAAATTTTCCTCTCAAAAAAGAATCAGTTTCATGGCTTCTCCCTCTAAATTCGCTGCCTTTTTTTCCTTTCTTGTATTAACAATCACTCAGTTTTCTCATTCCATTCCCTTCATTGTTCTCCATGGTAATTCTTTTCTCTTTTACGTTTTCAATCACTCTGTTTCTATATCAAGCTTAAATTTTTCCCGCTTTTTTTTCTTTTTGGCAGGGATTGGAGATCAGTGTTCCAATCGTGGAGCCAAACAGTTCACTGAACTTCTTACCAAATTTTCTGGTTATAAAGGATATTGCTTGTATTCTTCTTCAGTTCTCTTTCTTTTGCTTTCCTTTTTTTTTTTTTTACACAATTTGATTATATTTTCCTTTAAATCATGCAGAGAAGTTGGAGATGGGACATGGGATTCCTGGTTTATGCCTCTTGAAAAATAGGTAAAACTTTACAAAATGGAAATATCTATTAACCGTCACATTTGATGAGACATTTATTATTGTCTCGTTTCTTCTGTAACGACTTTTGTTGCTTGTTTCCAGACAGCTGTGGTTTGTGAGAAGGAGATACAGCTTTCTGGGTAGTTCTTGGTTTTCATATTTTTGTTCTCGATTTTGTAGTTTATCGTTCCTTTGACAACTTCAGTGACTTACCAACAGGTGAAGCAAATGAAAGAACTGAGTAAGGGGTACAACATAGTTGGTCTCTCCCAGGTGATTTATATTTAAAGTAATGGGATTGCTTAAATTCTGTAGTTTGATGTTGAGGCAACTTCCATATGTTGCTGTCATTCTCAATCCTTTATTTGTTTGGTTTAACAGGGTAACTTGATAGGTCGAGGTGTTGAAGAGTTTTGTGATGGTGGTCCTCAGGTAAGAGCCAGTTTTAACCTAAAACTTCTTGGTTTATCTTTTTCTCAAAAGATTGCCTACTTGCTGCAGAATATGATCAACTAGGCTTCTGCAATATATAAGGAGGTTTGAGGAACTTGGAAAGATTATAACTTACTTAATTGTTGTGTCTGTTTTGTGCTTTTTATTGACATCTGTTTTTCCAAATCATTATGATTTCAATGGTCAGCCACATTTGAGTAATCTGAGACCACTTTTATATCTGTTTGTTACCTAACCAATCTTAATTATGCCCTTGTTTTTTGGAACTATTTCACTCTTCCCTTTTTCTGCCTATTAAGTGCTGAGATTTATTCTGTATTCAGGGACTCTGGAGTCTGGACTATATGTTGAATATTCAAGGAATTGTGTTTCATATGATGATATGAATTGATTTTTTTGTCCAACTTTTACGCCTCTGAATGATGAAACAGGTGAAGAATTTTATCTCTTTAGCAGGGCCTTATGCTGGTACTGCTTCAGTTCCTCTTTGTGGTGTAAGTACTACTGAGACCTTTCCATTTACTCTTTGAAACAAATAAAATAGATTTGGCATCTATGAAGGCTGTTTCTTGGGGTGAGAAACTAATAGCTTCTAGCCCCAAACCTGGGAAATGCTCCATGTCCAACGTCATTTCATTCTCAATTCTAACAAACTGAGAATCTTACAGAACTCTAGTTGAGTATGGCCAAACCATAAATATTATTTATTGCATTCAACTTGAGTCTAGCATTACCCCAAAATAAAACTTGAGTCTTGCAAGGAATGATTACAAGATTGAGGAGCTGATTATGAAGATTCTTCATTAAAATCAAGGGATAATAATAAGGATCTTGGTCCTAACTCGTTCAAACCAAAAGGCTGATTTATTTGACTCCGTGATAGAAAAAATCAACTGCCTTTTTTAAGTGCTTACTTTCTACTTCTAGCTTAGAGGATCTCCGATGTTATCTATGCAATAGAAAGCCATTGAGCAATATGCAATGCATCATGATGTCATGGAAAGTATTTCTCGGCATGAATCTATCTTGTACTAAATGTATCACAGAATAATTTAAAGCATTGATAAAATGACATTGTAGACAACAGTTTTTGTCTAATTTAAACTCATTTAATCCTATCAGGAGCTGTAGTGTTTGTTGTTGAAGTGATTTTTGTGCTATTGCAGTCTGGTTTTCTGTACTTGATTGCAGACAAGCTAATTAAGTCAGAGATATACACCGACTATATCCAAGTATACATCTCTCTTCAAGGCTTTTTAATTTGCTACAAATTTCTATTCATGCTTTTGAGGAACATTGAAACATTAATAGAACTAGGAATATTCTTATTGTTACTAATTTCAGGTACATGATTGGCGCTTTTCAGCCCATTTGGCTCCAAGTGGTTATCTAAAATTACCAAATGTGAGTAGGATACACTGCTTCCTGGAAAACTTGATGGAATGTATGGATTTTTTTTACTCCATGATCTCTAGTTATTAACTGGTTGAAATGGTTGTACAGCTATGACTCATCAAATAATACAGGAGTCAGATGCCTCACGATCCAAAAATCTCTTATATGTTTAATAGTTGTGCTTAGATCTTGTTTTTAACAGATAAAAATTTCACACTTAGGTCTAAATTTTAATTTCATCTTTTAATTTCCAGGATATACTTCATTATTTGAGAAAATGTAGATTTCTTCCAAAGCTTAACAATGAACTCCCTGATGAAAGGAATTCCACTTATAAGGAAAGGTTCACTCGCTTGCAAAACTTGGTGCTTATCATGGTGAGCTGAAAAGAATGCCCCTTTAGCTTTTCCAACCTAGATTGGTCTTCTAGCTTCTTTTTTTTTTTCACATTTTGTATGCAATTTTCTCAATATATGCAAATTTATCTGTTGATCTTGCTCTCAAATAGTTTGAGAATGACAATGTCTTGATACCAAGGGAAATCTCTTGGTTTGGATATTATCCAGATGGGGCCTTCAAATCCATGATTCGTCCTCAAGAGGTATAATATTTCCCCTGCAAAAGTTCATTTTCTTAATTTATGATTGAAATTTTTCTATATTCTTTGTTCTTATACTTACAAATCGCTCCTCTCCGAACGTTCATCTTGCTACATGTATGTTATTGTTGAAAATAATCCACATCTAAGCTCTTATAATTTGTATACCCTGCATATATGTTCTAATTCACATCTCCTATAACAATGACCATTGTTGCACTACCAAAGCTTAACTTCTCAAAAAAACAAGACAACCTCTTCTTCTTCTAATGATTAAGATTTATATATTAGAAAATAGAAAAGAGATTGACAGTGGGGAAGAAGAGAGAATCCTGGACATAGTTGAAAATAATGTGATGTTTGAATTTGAAATTTTATGACCCTATACTCATCAAGGCTAGCAAAAATTGTGGCAAGATCAATGCTTTACAATCTGCTCATACTTTTTCTACTTTAATTGCGAGCTTAGTTTGCCTTACATGCGAATAATATCACTATCTATGCAGACAAAGCTTTACACTGAAGACTGGATTGGTTTAAAGACCTTAGATGATGCTAGAAGGCTCCACTACATTAGTGTCGCACGAGGTCATCTTGGAATTTCCAGAAGAGACATGAAAAAGCATGTTGTACCTTTCTTGAAGGATCAAGCATCAATGGTGGAAAGCATTCAAAGTGGGTATGCCACCAAAGTGCATTGATCTCATCACAACATCAGGCCGAGCCGCAAGAGAAAACAAGAGGTGCCTTGGTTGCGAGACAAAGCATCATCCAAATTGATACTTGATGGATCATTGTCCTACCACTGGCCTCCGTCTGTCCAAATCTTTATTAGGGAATTCTTGGACTTGAAGAAGACTAGCCATATCTTTAAGGCTCGAGACTCCTTATTCTTGGCACTGGCATTATAAATTTACATCATTTAACAACATAATGGCAAGATTACCGCCCCTTGCTAGTAGTAATTTTCATGATTGTTTGTGTGTAACTAGCACGCAGATAAAACATGGTTTATCCTAACTGAAACCTCACAGCTCAAACGTAGATAACTAATCAAGACGCATGGTCCAGAAACTAAACCACTGCATTGAAGTCATTTCGAGTGGGTGATTCCCAAACCCAGACAAGCCCTTTGTTAGGTCACGAGCAATACTTCCCATATAATATGAAAATATATGCACTTGATCCTTGAGCAGTAATGCCGTTATCTTTGATTCATGAGAAATAACAACTCAATTTACAACGGAAGAACAAACATTATTGGCATTTTATGTACGAAAGGATAAAAAGTAAAAAAAAAAAAAAGACACGACCTCCAATTTCTTGTTTTGTAGCTTGCAGTTCTCAGTAGACATGGATGTCCACACTAATGGTACCTCCCAGGCAGCTGCTCTCCCTACCAAGTTTCTGTGCTGAAATCTTTTGGTGTGCTTGGCAGCGTAGCCACAAGCATGAGATTCTTGCCAGTGCTGCCTGACCAGCAACTCTAACTCGATACACTACACTTAGATCTGCCCATATTGTACTTCTCATGGCAACTGATTCAAGACTTCGGTCATATCCATCAAGATCAGCTTCTGTTACCACTACCACAGAACCATCATCAAAAGCCACAAGATCTCGTGAAGGTGCCAAGTCCGAAGTTTTGAAAATTAAATCTGCCCAGTGGCTGTTGAAACCAACCTTCACTTTAAGATAGTAGAACTCCTGAACAGCCTGCAATTGTAACAAAGAAAGAGGCAAATCAAATCCATTGTTTCAAAAGATTCAGGTTTCTATTAAAACACAAATAAGTATGGATTTTATTCCTGAACTTGATTGCTGAAAGTGAGACCCAAGACATTATACCTTCCATTGGGAAGAGGCTAAAAGCACCCTTGGCCTGATTGACCTCACATAATCATATGCAGCAACGGGTGTCATCTGCTTATAATGTACCTATGTAAAATCAAAATTCACATCAATGAATCTATAAACCAATAAGTAATATGATCTACACTTCTTTATATAGCACTAACCAGGTAACATAATACAATGGTTGTGCTGCGGCCACGACCAGCTTTACAGTGGACGTACGTAGTTTGCCCACGTGATGCATTTCCTTGAGAGAAAAAAAAAATGAATATCAGGAAACATTGCAACAAGGGAAATTAAACACAAAAGTTTGGAGAACCGTTTGAACAATGTCTCATCTTTTTTAAGAAAAAAGGTCATTGGCAGACAAGTTTGAGCAGAATAACCAAACCCCTCAAAGAACACTCACGATGAATGAAATCGATAGCTTGGCATATTGAAGTCAACGATGGTGCAAAGCAGTAGTCTCTTGTAGGGATCACCAAATGGTTAATGCCATGATTCTACCACAATATTGAAGAAAGCAAATTAACAACTTTGGCTACTAGCTACATAACTTTAAACACCAAAAGATTAACTACATAAATAAATGGAAATTTTCAGTTTAAAAAATCACAAAATGGGGAAAAAGAAACAACATACGTGAGACAAAGATACAAAGTCTTGCAAAGGAGAGAAAATGTACAATGTATGAACTACAACAGAATGCATACTTGATAAAGCGATGTTGGAACCAACGTCTCATACGGTTCATTTAGTGTGATCACTCCACGAACACCAATCTCCTTTAGCTTTGGAACATCAGTAGGGAATGGAACAGCACCTAACAGTATAAACTGGGAAAAAAATTTTGAACTATTAAAACAAAAGTGCATTGCAAGAAGGGCAGATTAAAGATAGATTCTCCACAACATGCCTCTCATAGCTTTCATGAACATGGATCCACTAATTGAATAAAAAAAATATAAGATAGGTTAAAAGCAAAGAATATCCTAAGAGAGTGAGTGGGACATCAAGCACTCTGCAATACCATATCCATCCACAAGGGGAAAAAATAGACTTTTACATCAAAATTGACAGAAATTTTGAACTCAAAGTAGCAACATGAGCCTGATTAATTAAAGACCACATAATACTATACTCATCTAATTCATGTTAATGCCGGCAAGCATAAACATCAACCAAGCCAATACCTCACAATATTACCACAAAAGAAACACATGTGCAATAATAAATTGCCTGATGATGTGAATGCCAGTATTTAGAAACAAGCATTCACCCATGTATCCAACAGAAATATAGCTAATAACCTGAACAATCTAGACACAAAGACAACAAAATGTATCATCTAAAACGCACCATATTCCCGATTACAGAAATTCACACTGCATATCCAAGCAAGCTTAATTAAAAAGCACTTATAGGAAACATAATAAAAATAAACACAGAATCCAATTAAAATCATATAATAAAACAAGAGAGCATCAATATAACCCTAAAAACTCGTCAACAACAACATCAATCAATTAAAATGCAAAAGACATACACGGAAGATATACCTCGTCAACTCTATCCCACCAACGGAAATCAGGTTGAATCTTGTTCCTAACAACATTGTAAAGCAAGGTCGGGTAAAACAGTGCACGAGCTCCTGCACCTATCAATGCCCTTTTCGAATCCCATTCCACAACGCGTCTTTCGATTCCCAAAAACCCACTACTTCCATAACAACTCTTATTTTCTTTTTCTCCTCCAGCTCTCTCCATCCCGTCCCCTCCCTTGAGTTCCTCTATATACATAGCCCACAGTTCAACGCAAATAAAGCAGATATGCACGAAATTAAAAAAAAAAAAAACCCTAATCACACAATTTAAACAATTTGCACAATTTGAAAAAGATACCCAAAAAACTTAAATCTTTACATTCCTTTTCAAACACAAACCCTAAAGCTTGGAATTTGAACCGGAAATGGAACGACAGATGAAGTTGACAGAAATTGATTTGGGGATCACTCGGTTACGATTTCTACATGAAATCACCACCATATTTCGAAGGAAAAGGGTCGATCGGGCGGCGGGAACAAGCCGAAGACGATGTGGCTTGGACGAAAGGTTATTGATTGATCGAAATTGGGGATCGGGAACTATAATCTTATGGTATGGAAACTCTAACCCTGAAAATTATTTAATTTTTGTGGGAAATCGTGAAGAGAGGATAGCCTGGGTTCCACTCCTCCGCTTTTTGTTCTAACAAACTTTGAAACCGAAAAACAGAGGTAAGAAATTTATTTCTGGGTGAGGGAGAATATAGTGACGAGGATGATTTCGAGGGAGTTCGTGACCAATCTGAATGGATGACACGTGTTGAACTGAGATTGGGGTAGCGGCTGCGGTGATTGCCGACAAATATGAAAACGGTTAGTTGGTTTTATATAATTTAATAATCTTTTCAAGTGATTAATTTTAGTTACCACAAAAAAAAATTAATTATTAGGATTTGTCGGTGAAAAATCACAATCTTGACTACCTCAAAATTAAAAAAAAAAAACACGTGATTTTGCTTAGAAACTGTTAATACTAGTATTTTTTTTAATTTTCTAATAAGAAGAGTATTAAAGATATTGGTTGAAAAATATAATTATATTTTCAGAACTTTAACTGACAAGGAAAGGGGAAAAAAAAAAAAAAAACACCAAGGATTGTTGAAATTCCATTACATGTAATAAATCAAACAAAGTGTAAAAAGGCAACAAAACATTCATTTCGAAAAAGAATGTAAGAAAAAATATAAAATTTCGATTATAAAAATGAAGAAATTAAGTATGTATACGCACAATTGAAACAAGTAGTTTTTTATTTGCATTTTTCTATTGTTTTTGAACAATAAAACAATGACAAGAACATGGGATTAAAGCGTATCCTTGAAAGAGTATCAGCCCATGTCTAATCAGAAAAGAATTTGTTCATTCTTTCTTTGGAGTATTCACTTACGTGGATTTTGATAACCCTAATTTTGATATGAATCCTTGGTCGTAGTAATGTCCCTTTCTACTAGAAAATAAGGTCCTCCAGGGCATACAAACAGTTGTTTGATAATATAATCTTCCAATTCTACTGAGCTGAGTAACTAGCTGCTTATCTCCAGAGTCCTTCAGATGTTCAACAATTCTGTCGACACAAGGAGCTTGCAAGCGAATTTCTGTTTCAAGCATTGACCTAGCAAGCTTTTCAGCTTCATCCGAATGGCTTTGCTGACAAAGGCCAACCAAAAGAATGGAATAGATATCAGAGTCAATGGAAGATATGTATTGCATCCGTTCAATTTCGTCATATAAGAAAAAACCATCTAGCACCTGTCCCTCGCGACAGATCTCCCTGATCATGATACTACATGCAATGCTATCAGGTTTAGCCCCACTTGCTAACATCTTCTTAAAGAGCTTGACTCATCAAGTCTGTTAATCCTAATCAAAGACACCACAAGAGAACTATAGCAATCACCATTTGAAACACCACATGCAGCAACAATTTTATCAATCAACTTATAAGCTTCTTCAACATGTCCCTCGGCGTAAAGCCCCTTCATCAACGTAATAACTGTTACACGATTAGGAGCACACCCACAAGCCCATTCTATCCAAAATTCTCAATGCCTCCATTGTCTGAACCTTCTCACAAAAGCTTTGAATCACGGATGTATATGTGATAACATTTGAAGTACAACTCCTACCTTCTTTCTCCATCTCCCCCAAAAATTCTGTCGCCTTGTCCGTACTCCCATACCTACAAATCCCCTCAAGAAGCGCAGAATATGCCGCGGCATTTGGAAAATGCCCATGCCCCCTCATAACATGAAGCAAAACACAAGCATCCTCCAATCTACCAGCAGTACAGAGCCCCTTGATCATTGCCAAATACGTGATCATATCAGGATAAAGATCTATCAAGCCCATCTCTTTCATCAATTTATCTGCCATATCCATATCCCTTTTCTCACAAAACGACCTAATAACCAGATTATAAACAGTAGTATCCGCACGTATATTAAATTCAGGCATTTTCCTCAATAGCAACAGAGCCTCATAAGCAATCCTAGCTTCTCTACACAAATTTAAAACAACCTTAAACGTTTTAACAATAACCAAACACTTTTGCACCTAGTAAGCTTCAATAACATCCAAAACAAGAAGTGGGTTTTGCTTCATTTTCAAAAATTCACAAGCTTTGCTCTACATATAGGAACTATGCCTATAATTTGATTGAAGACCCGCCAATTATAAAAAACCTCAGACCCATATGAGATTTATCAGAGCAGCATCTTTCTAACACTTCACAGACACAATTTGAGTCCAGTTTGGCATTGACTAAAGCTAGGGTTTTCTCTAAGTTGCTTTGTTTCTTCTGTAAATGAGTGAAGAATTTGTCTGCAGAAGAGGCTGTGCTGAATGGAAAAGTGAAAACTTTAATTGGTTTTGGGTAAATTGAGAGTGAAATGAAGCGGGAGAGTGAAAGACTTGGCATGGTTTACGGGGAACTTAGGGTTTTTGGAAGTGTAGGTGTTGGTTAAACCCTAATTCTGGAACAAAAAATGGGGCATAATCTTACCTAAATACAATTGCTTGTGGATGAAGATGGCTGAGTTTTGGCGAGAATGAGCATGATGTGATTCGTGCCAACACGGCCAAGTACTGCCGGGTCAACTCATTGCTAGGCATCATAGTTGTAGTAATATTCTTGTAGATTAGCAGTTGTTTCAGCTTCGGAAGTTGTCATTTTTTTTAGATTATTTATTTATTTATTTATGATTATGTCCTACACTGTTTATGTTTCACAAAATTAATTGCTTTTTTTTTTCCATGATCAAGAGCTAAAGGCCTAAAACATTAACCTTTTTAATGATTTTTTTCCTTTTTCTTTATCTACATTTTAAGTATGAAATTAAAAATTTTTGAATTGCAAATTACTCAGGAATGGTTCAAAAATGCCTCCTTTAAAAAATTTCCTCAACCAAAAAAAGGTAATAATAATGTATCATGTTATAAATTTAAAATTTAGTTCAATTTTTCGTACAATTGTCATTAAATAATATCATTTAATAAGTTTAAATTCAAATCTTTCTCATTTATTTTATATGAATTTTACTTTAAAAAAATGAAATTAAGTAATAATTTTACAAGTATATACATCATCAATATCTTACTTAAAAGAATAATGTAAAATACTAATGAACATTTATTACGGGATTATTTTGGAAGAAAAAAGTTGTTATTTGTTTCTTTTTTTTTTTAATAAAAGAGGCATAAGAGAAAAAGATAAAGGAGTTTTATAATAATGAACTTAGGCACAAGGCTCATGCTGGATAGAAAACCATAGTTGGACAAAATTGTAGGGGCAGAAAGTTTAGAAAATTAGGACAAAATGTATAGTTTAACATTACCTTTCCAAATTGCAGAAATTAGCGGCACAAACTCTTTACATTCTTAAAATTTTATTGTCTATGTATGGGACAAAAGACAAATAAAAAGTGAAACCCAAAACAGAAACTGGTTTGTTGTGACCAAAAAAGGTATAGGGAATCAGATCCATTGTCTACAAATCTTTCCAACATAACTCACTTTCGGCCAATCGGAGAAAAGAGGGATGGATGCCTTATCATCCTTCTTCTTCAGTACTTAATTATGAGGATTTTTCATCTCTTAAATCTTTGCTTAAAGCTGCCTGTTCTTTAACATACATGGGATTCATGGGCAGCACTTTCATGCTCTCTTCACATGGCTGTTGGGTGCAGCTCAAACCCTTTGAAGGATGCGGGAAGATTGGTGCATGACTCAACCAACGCATGGATTATTCTCAAAGTAACAATTTGTTTATATTGATCAAAAGTAGAATTTTGTTCATGATTGTATAGCACTGGATGAGATTTATGCTTTATTTTTATCTTTTTTTTGGCCAGAAAAAAAAAAAAGTTACAGCAAAAGTATCGAGAATTGGTCACTGTTTTCATGCTTCACATGGTATGGAAAAGAGTCAACTAATTTATTTTGACAGAAGCATCGTTTCTGTCAAAATAAATAATATTATATATCTTCAGTTCAGAGGAGCCAGAATATTCCAAGAAGCATGCCTTCATTGCCACCACTAACATCCCCATCAAACAAAACCATCTATAATTACAAAATTACAAAGAATTCCACTAACTACATGACTCAGCTTCTCCCCTGATCAGCCAAAAATCTTGACAGAATAATACATGCAAGAAAGCTACAATATGAAAGCAAAGAAACGACAAAATGGTTGAACCAAGTGCTTAGAGTTGTTCTGTTATATGGACAGAATCATTGGTTAATCTCTTGGAAAGATCTCTTCAAGTCTTGATTATTAAATTAAAGTATATCCAAAGCCACTGCGTGGCCCTTAAGAGCATCTAATGATATCAGGTTCAGAGATATAGGAATAGAATGTAAGAATGGAGTGATGAGCATAGACAGACTAAGAAAAACATTCCCTTCTCCTGAATTTTAAACACTCGTTTTTCTAATTCTTGAGTTCGGTTTTTCATGACCTCCACAAAAAGTTAGCGTACGCAGTCCAAAAGAAGAATCCTGGCAATCTAGAGGCAACCCATTTGCCCCTCTGCCTCGTTTCTAATTCCCATAATCTTCCCACTCAGATTCTTTTTTCTTTGTTTTTTCCCCCTTGATTTTTCATATTCTGAAATACATGGCTGAGTCCTTTTTTTTTCTCTTTTCCCATGGCTTAATTACTACATTGACAACGCATTTCTTAGTATATTGTCCAGTCATGAAAGGCTGTTCACAAGAATATGAGTTTGAAGAAACTTCATCAAGTTATTTTCTATGGGTGTGATTTAGGTTGTACCAGCTCTTACTGGACCACTGGATTATACTTTGTTTCCAGCTTTTAACTAATGCTGATATAAAGTACAAAAAGGCGTGGATAAATTTATCAAATGCAACCGTTTTAGATTATGCAAAGTCTGATCTTAACCATTTGAGATTGCATTTCCACCTCAACTCATCTCCTTTTCATTTGAACCATGAGTCACCAAGCAAAATCTTCACCTCAGCAACCAACTGATCAGCCTCAGCTTCTGACTTTTGCCTCCCATTGGAGAAATGCCGGTTCTGCCGGCAAAATGTCACGTACAAAAAGGCATCTAAAATGCAACTGATTATTGAAAATATTTACTTAAAATTCGTAAAAGATTTGTTTAAAATTTATCATATATTATTTGATGGACAAAAAAATTTACAAAAAAAAAATTTTAAGAGAAAGAAGAACTTTAATAGGTAAGTTTGACTTACAAGAGAAGAATTCTAAAAAAAAAAAAGATTCTTAATAATCAAGTTTGTATGATTATAAATAGGTGAAGTATCTACAAGGTTAAGTATGAGAAAAAAATATAAGAGAGTTGTAAGGTTTTGTGAGATAGATATCTCATAGAAGTATTGGAACTCTACGTCTTATAGATATTGACGCTCTACGTCTTATAGGTATATATGTTTATTTGTGAGTAGATTAGAAAAGATTAAGATGGTCTACATAAGAATGATGTATATGAATATATGGGTATATATTTAGTTATGTTGAAAGAGTGCACAAGGATTTGAGTTTTTGTTTGTTTAGATTGAGAATACTCCTTAAGATTAAAAGAAATTGAAAGTATCTTATGAGTATTGATTGTTAAATAAGATTGATGATTTGATATATATTTATAATTTTTTATAATTAATGAATTTTATTTTTTATCTAAGTTAATTAATTAAATTACATTAAATTATTATTTTTTATATTTAATTTATTATTTTATTTCATTTCTGCTGATTAAATTAAAAAATTTTAAGATGATAAAATGCAAATTATGAACGACAGTTTTAAATTCTAAGGACTCGATAATTTGACAGTACCAAGTTCAAAATCTTTTTCTTTTTGGTTCCGTATATAAAAAAAAAAAAAAAAGAAATGACAGGATTAGAACCACATCCACGTGTCTTTCTTTTACAACTAGACTGTGTAAAAACTCATTGCAAAAATTAGAATCACACGATCACTACTCGTTAATCATAACTATAGGGCATCTAGCTGCTCATCATTTCAGCCCAACTGCATTAATCCAACCGCCCAGCTTTCACCTAAAAAGCAGAGAAGAAAAATGGAGAAAAGAAAAGAAAAGTACTGGGCTATTCATGTTATTTGCTAGAAGAACTGTTAAAAACTTGAAAGGCGAAGCAACCAATTCTTAGCTTCAAATATGCTCACTGCTCCGCCAAACTCTCTTCCACTCTCTCTCTCTCTCTCTCTGCCTTTCCTATTTCTCCACTGTTTTTTTGTCCCCTAAGTCTTCTTTTTATCACCGTCATCTCCATATTCTTTTGCACGAACAAAGCTCAATCAAAACAAAAAACTCCACTCCTTTCTTTTCTATCCTTCTCTTTTTCTCTTCTTCAATGGCGGATACAGACTCCTACATCAAACAGCAGCAACTAGTAAAAGAACAAAACCAAGCAAACCCGAGTAAGTACTATACACGTTTCCTTTTCAAATCTCTCATAGTCATAATTTTCTTGGTTATAATACCAGCTTTTCCCTCACAAGCGCCTGAATTCATCAACCAAACTCTACTCAACAGAAGCTGGGAGCTTCTGCACCTTCTATTTGTTGGCGTAGCAGTCTCTTACGGGATTTTTAGCCGGCGAAATGATGAAACAGAGAAAGAAAACAATAACAACCAATCCAAGTTTGATAATGTACAGTCTTTCGTGCCTAGAGTCCTTCAGGTGTCATCGGTTTTCGATGATGAAGCCGAAAACTTATCCGGGTCTGATGAAAGCAAGGTCCAGACTTGGAGTAACCAATGTTATAGGAATGAACCCCCTGTTGTTGTAGCTAAAGAACAGGCTGTTCTTGATGACCAGAGAAGCTCTAGTACTAGAACCACCGAAAAGCCTTTGCTTTTGCCTGTTAGGAGCTTGAAATCGCGTGTTTTTGACGCCAATAATCTTGAGACCAGTAGGGAAAATAGTGCAAATTCTAGCTCTCCTAGTATATCTAATTCTAGTTTGAGTTCCAAAAGGTTTTCAAATAAAGGTATAAATGGGGAATTGGGAAGATTGTATCAAGATACTTTGGAGAAGAAGTTGAATGAGAATAATGTTGCTCTTCCTTCACCAATTCCATGGCGCTCAAGATCTGGAAGAATGGAAGTGAAAGAAGATATTGAATCTGAATTCAATAGGCTTGAATCTCGATCATTTAGGTCCCAAACTACTCGTTTGACTCGATCCAGTTCCATGTCTTCTTCACCAAAGTTGTCCCATTCACCACCTCTATCTTCGCCAAAGAAGTTATCTCCTTCCTCTTCTTTGTCAACGGAAACACAAGCCAAAAGTGCAGAGGATTTAGTGAGGAAAAAGAGCATTTACAGGTCTCCTCCCTCACCACCTCCTCCACCCCCACCAATGATTCACAAATCATCATCACTGAAACCAATTTCTACCTTGACTGATGATGAGGTTTCCTTTGATAAGGATTTGCCTTGGAACTTTGGAAGGGAATCAAATGACTTGAATGGAAGCAGAGGAGACGCATTTATGGGTACAAAAAGGGACTATATTTATGGTTTGTCCAAGGGAAAGTCAAGAAGGACGATTCGGCCAGGCGATTCGCTTAGTGGAACAAGGACAGAGGGTGAAATTGATAATGGGATCAATGGCAAGACAGTGAAGTTTGATCAAACATCATTGATCAGGACTGAGAAGCTGAATCGTGAAAGTGTCAGCTTTATGCCAAAGCCAACTTTCATGGAATTTCCACAGGGAAGGAAACAAGAATTTGTCAAAAAATTGGTAGTGGAAACTACTGATGATGACTCGGAGAGTGAAGATGAGGAAGTTGGTGAGACTTCCTGTCTTTCAAGCCTCGAAAGAAGTCCAAACAACGAGGAAGCTAGTGGCATAGATGGAGGGTCTGATGTGGATAAGAAGGCCGATGAGTTCATAGCCAAAGTAAGAGAGCAGATCAGGCTTCAGAGGATTGATTCTATAAAGAGATCGAGTGGCCAGATGAAGAGAAACTCTACAAGGTAAAGTTGAAGAGACATCAAGCCATAGAGTTTTCAGAGGATGAATTTGTATTGGGTAATTTTTTTTTTTTCCTTTCTTCTGCTTCTTGCTTTATTAAAGGCCTTTTTGAATTTAAGGTCATGGTATACAGAGATAGTCTTGGTTTTATCTTTGTGTAACCGTTTACATTGAAGAATTGTTTCTGTTCTTCAACTTGTTGGTTATTTTATCTCCTGCATTGTTGTAACTGAATTGGGAAAATAGTCTTTTTTGCAATGCTTTTGACTTACTCCTAATGCAGATTTTTCAGCTGCTCAACCAACTGACGATCACAGAACATATAGCATTTTATGTATGTCATGCCACATTGAAATTTATCATGACATCCACTAAAGAATTTTTTTCTCCAAAAAAGAAGTGATTAAAAGAGACCAATTAAGTGTGAAGAATATATTTTGACTTTTAAAGGACAGGGTCTTGTTCACTTGCAAGTGCCCGCACTTGGTCTTTACCCTTGAAATCTTGAGAAGGCAATTAGAAATTTTCCTCGAAGCTGTTTCCATTATCCTCTCCCATCCGCTCTAATAACAGCCATCTCACTCCTGGTGCCTAACTGCATACCGTAAGCCTCACTCCTGAAGCAGTTTAGTACAATTCATTTACGACTAGCTTCTGTTGCATGGATTTGTGATTAAAATTCCTAGACTTTTATGTTTCGAGTTCCATGGTTTATTACTTCTCCTGACCGGAAGCAGTTATTCACATAAAATTTTGGAACCGCAAATCTGTTAGAAATCTGCTAGTTAGCAATTAGCACATTCACATTAACTTCATCAGAGTGAAAAACTTTGAAAATGAACTTTGAGAATTGATGAAATTGAGCAAACTAATACTGCTGGATGATGATTGATGCACATCAACCAGTATGACAACCAACCTATACTCTTGGAAGTTCTTTCTTTTCTCTTTCCATTATAATACCCAACTAGTTCTCGAGTCTAAGCAAAGGATATATTCTTTCAAAGTTCAAGCGAAGAAATTGGAAGCTTATATTATTTGGATATCTTTTACAGCTTTCCTCATTTCCCGCTGTTAAAACATAACTGCCTCTGCCAAACAGGAAATTACTGCACCACCAAAAAGAAATGGAGTCTTGTAAGATCGAAGCCTGCGCAATATATATTCCTTGCCTGATCCTCTAGCTACGGCTCAAAGTCAAAGTTTGATGTGAAGTAAACCAGATTATCATCAATGCTGCACAACCCTACCCCTCTCCGAGCCCTGTGAACCATCCTAGATAGAACAGGAATCGATCAAAGAAGGTTTCCGAAAATTCTAGTTGGCCCACTTTTAGTTTGGGTTTAAGGGTTAAGCATTAGAACAGTATGCCGAATTGACCCAAATGCATTTCAGTGAACCATTATAAGTGAGTAACACTTCTGCTTTAGTGGGTTTCCTTTCCTTCTAAATGGACCTGTCAACCCGAAATTCAAAAATCCATAAAACTTTGGAACTTGAAGAACGATCTGTTATCCCCTAAAAGGTTCACAGCCCACCTGTGGATAGGTCAGGGTAAATCAAAGTGCTTGATGCCTGATGGAGCTTTGCTTGCAGGACAGGCTCTTGTGAAAATGAATATTCAGGTCTATAGTTCTGCAATGCAATGGTTGTTTCCAACCTTCCATAGACCCTTGTGCCCACACAAACTTGCTTTTCTCGAACAAGGTTGTCTATACAAATTCCTAGAGCCATTAAATGTATTCCATTTCTATGGCATATTCTAAAGCAATAGTCACAAAGGGATTGATGACAAATAATTCCTTCAACTTGGGGCATTCACATTCCAAAGGGGACTCAAATCTCTGTTGAATCAAGGAGAGAATCAAAACGATCTACAATTATGTCAACTCTTATGAGTTATAACCACACTGAGACATTATCTAGTGCCCCTGCGCCCTATATTTCAGATTCAAGCCCACTAAGTACCTATCAAGGAAAATGAATGTGTCTGCCAGCATACAATCCACTGCATTTAGGGCTAAGCTTTTATATGACTAGAAACAGGATGTCTTTTTATTGCAGGGAGATTTTCCCTCTGGTCACTTGACAAAAACAGGAAAGAGAAGTAAACAGTATTTTAGCACCTGGAGATATTTTAGGATAATCCACTGCATTTACAGGAGCAGGGGATTAATCGCTGATACCTAACAGATTTTATTGTGTCTGCCATAATCAGAAGAATGTATAGTTTCAAACTTCTATGTCCGCTGACCCAAAACAGATGAAGAACAAAACCATTGTGTTTGTCATTTCAAAACCTTTTCGAGCTTCGAAGGTTGGTAATGATCATGAATCATGACTACCTCATTTCTTTTCTTTTTTTCAGACTTATGTTTAGAAGAAAAATATTAGGACCACGTTCACAATTAACTCAAAAACAGGCGTAATTGTCCCCACAGAATCCCAAAACTCTAAATGATAAAAGGAAAATACAAGAAAAAGAGATTCCTTTTAACCTGAATTGGAATTTGGATCACAAGATTTGGCTTAAAAGCTAGCCTAATTTAATAATTAGGCATTTCACTTTACACCCAAAGTTATCTTCCCTACCTTTCAAATTAAAGGAGAAAGATGTACTTAGTATATATATATATATATATATGTATGTATGTATATATATTTTTGTTTGAGATACCTCGGTATGTAACAATCATTTTAAATTTTGATTATTTTAAATTTAAGTCGAATCAAATTTTATAAAAGAGACAAGATCTTTAACATTTATTTTTTTTATTCATAAAATTTAAAATCAAAATCTTATTTAAGAAAAATCAATCTACTTGTTACTTGAAAAACAAACATTGGTTACTCAGCATATATGTTACTTGAGAAAAAAAAAAAGATTAGATGGGTCCACGAATACAAAACAAGAAGACCCACCAAATAACATTCTAACCGCCACATCTTAGACCTAAGAAACCTTTGAACATGGGACACCGTTCTCTGTACGCATGTGTCTTTCATATTGACCAAAATGCCCTTGTCCATGAGTTCCGAATTACGATTGAGGACGAAGAGCATCGAACGGCCCATGAGGGATGGGAGAAGCTGGGGCCCAAGCGTTGATTGGGTTGGACCTGCGATGGGTTTGGGCCATATGATGGGACCGTCGATCAACGGTGGATGATGCGTTGGGTGGGACCGCCACCCTCTCACATGATGGGCACATGGTGAGGGTGGTAGGTGGGGTCATTTGCATGTAGAACTGTGGGGAAAGTTTCAGTGCTCTCAGCTCCTGAACTTCCTTATGCAACCGCCTGTTTTCCTCCGTCAAATTCTCACAGCATCTCTTAAGGAACTCACAGTCAACCTCAGTTTGCTTCAGCTTGGTCCTGCAAAAAGAATTACAGTCCCATATTTAGTAAATAATGTTACAATAAAAGGACATAACTGTCACTGGATTAAATTTCTAAAACGTTGCCCTTAAAAACAGTGGCAGAAAATCTCTTACCTTGCCCTTCTGTTTTGGAACCACACTTCTACTTGTCTGGGTCGCAATCCCAGCTGCTTAGCCAAGGCCAACTTTTGCCTCTGCAAAGGTAGTAACAGTCATCCGTTTATCAGTACAATTACCAAAATATCCTCCCAGTATTTTCTGTTTGGTTGCTAAGAAAATATAGCCTCAAACGCGTCAAACTCAACGACCCATTAGACTAAATTTTCCATTTTGACTTGTCCTCCGCCTTTCTTGGCAACCAAACAGTAATTTTCATCTTAAAGTTTCTTTTTTAATTACTTACCGGGTTGAGAGTGTTATGTTCTTTAAAACTTTCTTCAAGAATAGCAGACTGATCTTTAGAAAGTCGAAGTTTTTTTCTTGAAGTGTCACCATCTTCTTCGTCACTGATGCCACGGGAAGAAGCTCTTTCAATCTCAATCTCATCTCCATCACCGTCTCTTTCACTCCTTTTTCCACTTACACTCGATATTGTGCTGTTTGGAGATGAAACTCCAGCTTCTTCTTCACAATCGACAGTTGATGGCAATCTGTTCACGTCGATTCCTCTAAGAAATAATCTAGTCTCGGCCCGGAAAGATTCTGAGTTAGGATCTGCATGCAAAGACCACACTTTTCAGATAAAAAGGTTGGAAATTTTGTCTGAATATCGAGGCAGAAAAAAAAAAAACTGATTTTTGAGGTGAGATCTAGAGAAAAGTAGCGGATTTTTAGAGGCTGTTGCATGTGAAAATGAGACAAGTGCAAGTGAAAAAAGCAACAAAGAAAGTAATAAGTTTTTTTGGTTGGGTTGAATTTAAAAGGGAAAAAATGATACTAAAGCATTAAAAAAAAGGAAAAGAAATTGATTCGTTTAAGCTTCGTTTGGTTCTCGGGAAAGCAAAGGGGATAAAAAAAGAAACGAGATCTGAAAGGTGATGCCCCATGGAAAGAGTGGCACAAGAAACATACCTGAAAGAGCAGAGACATCGTTCCATGAGGGTTTCTGAAGGGTTAAACCAGAAGGAGAAGAGAAAGAGGATGGAACCAGAGAAGGCCTTAGATTTAGGTGGTGATTCTGAGGGAAACTCAAGCTCAGACTCAAACCCAGATCTTCTTTTTCCACCATCATTATTTTCAGTTTTGCCAAACACAGCTTTTTCTCGTATAGTAGCTTAGACTCTTTGATATGAACAAGAAGGAAAGAAGAAAAGATACGAGCTTTGAGAGTGCGAGAGAGAGAGAGAAAGAGTTGAAAGCTGATGGGTACGTAATAGGAAGGAACATGTGATTATATAGAAAGCAGAGAATATGATAGGAGAGAGTGGAGTTTAAGTTCAATCATGACTTGTTGTCAGGAGGCCAATTATCACAATCATGGCTTTTGCTCCCAAAGTAAGGCCCTACCTCTGCTTCTTTCTCTTATATCTTTCTCTACCATGGTAAATGGCCAAACTTCTTTTTATCTACAGTTTCTACAATTTGCTTGGCGTTTGCTTAGTTACCACCTTTTATCTTTTGTTTATACATTAGTAAAACATTAACTGTCGAGTAGAATAGGATTTGATATATAAGAGTTTATATTATTTTTAATTTATGATATATTTTTATAAGATAAAATTATAAAATTTAATATATTTAAAATAAATAATATTTTATAAATTGATGTAGATCATGATATTTTATATTAAAATTAAATTTAAAGATATTAATAATATGTCACTAAAGACACTGAACTTTCGTTTGAATGAAAAACTATATAATCATTTGTTAAAAAATTATAAATGTTACATCAATTATTTATTAAAATTAATCTTAAAATATCATATTATTTTTAATTTATAAAGTAGTTTTTAAAACAAAATCATGAAATTTAGTGAGATCAAATAAATAATATATGATAAGTTGATATAAACATTATTTATACTCTTAAAGTTTACTCTATTTTATTATCTATCATTTATACTTTAACCTAGATTTAGTTTTGATTTTGCATACTTAATTTTTAAAAAACTGTTAATGTTTTTTAATTTATGTAATTAAGATTTCAAATTTCAGTAACTATAATTTTTTTTTATTTTAAAAATGCAACTTTTTTATTAAAAATCTATAAGAAGATGTGGGGTTTGCTTAACTGTTGTACAACCAAACTTGGATTAATTGACTTCCATTTCATGCAACATTCCAATAGGGAGTGGCGTTTGGCACGTTTTCATGACCAGCTTTTTTTTTTTGACAAATAATGCGTCATCAATGCATGATTCACGACTTTGACTAGTTTAAATTTAGGAAATTTAAAATCATGCTTTAATTGCATGGTAATCAATTACTAATAAAATTTTCTCAAGTCTAAATAAGAATCCATATGTAATTTTTAAATACAAAAACATAAGTAACCTACATATTCTTTTCTTCTTCCTACACTTATATTGCAAACATAATTGAATTTTGACATTAACAAATTAAGATGACCAAATTGATAGAATCATATTGCTATATATATATATATATATATATATATATCATAGTGTTTATGAAAATTAAAAAGAACTTCTGTTGGGGTATCAAATTTTTTAAGTTTAGTTACTATAAAAATAACCTAAAAATAAAACAAGAAAATAATATGAAAAGGGAATATTAAAAAAATATTAGGGGCATTTAATTCAAGAGAATTCACACATTATCTCTTGAAATTTTATTGTTGGGTATTTAATTTTAACGTTTAGTTTAGGATAATCTGATTTCGAAAAAAATTGATAGATTTTTTACAATATCCAAAATTTTAAAATTAAAAATTCACTTCTCATTGTGGTATTTTAGGATTCCGAAAAAAAAAAAAGTACCATTATTTTTAAATTTGACTAGATAAAAAAATTGTAAAGTAGCCGTTACCATTTTGAAAAGCATGTCTGAAAATAAATGCAAGTTAAGTATATATTTTTATTGACAAAAAATTTAGTTTATATATGGCGTTTGGAATTAAAAGTACATTTTATAATCCCTTACAAAAATTTGAATGGAGTTATTTAAGGCATTTCTAACCAAAAATGACTTAAATAATCTCCTATCATTTTTTTGGGTTATTCAAAACGTTTTTTGTAAAAAAAATTTATTAAACAATCCCTTATAAAAAATTGAATGAGGTTATTCAAGATGTTTCGACCAAAAACACTTCAATAATCATTTTCAATTTTTATGAGGAAATACATTAAATAATCTCCTTTAATTTTTTTATTGATGATTATTCAACGCATTTTTTATTAAAAACAACTTCAATAAATCTATTCAATTTTTTGTAAGGGATTATTTAAAATATTTTTTGAAAAAAAAATCTTAAATAATCTCATCATAAAAAATTAGAAGGGATTATTGAAGGTTTTTTTTACCATAAACGCTTAATAATCCTCTTATAAAAATTGAAAGGGATTATTCAAAACGTTTTTTGTTAGAAACACTTTGACTAACCCTATTCAATTTTTTTAAGAGATTATTTAAAGCATTTTCTAAGCAAAAACACATTGAATAGTCATTAAAAAATTGAAGGAGTTTATTAAAAGTGTTTTTGGTCAGAAACGTATTGAGTAATCTCATTAAATTTTTTGTAAATGATTATTCAAGGTATTTTTTTAGCTAAAAATGTCATAAATAATCTAAAAAAAAAAAGGAATTATTAAAGGTTTTTTTTTTTTTACAGAAAACACCTTAAACAATTTCATTTAAAAAATTGAAGGAAGAATATTTAAGATGTTTTTGATCACAAATGCCTTAAATAATCTCATTCAATTTTTTATAAGGATTATTCAAATTGTTTTATAATAAAAAATATATTGAATAATCCCTTTAATTAAAAATTAAATTATTTAAGTTACCATTGTATATGCCAAATATATTATAATAATTATTTAAGATTTAATATATATGGATTCTCCCTAACCAAACAAATGAATATAAACACAAGATGCCCTAAAAATTGACAAAAATCTCAAGTATCATATTTTTTTAGAAATCATACTTTCTTTTGAAATCTATGATTTTATGAACTAAACACCCTCTTATAATATTAAAAATGTTAATAAATGTTTATTAAAGAAAAAAATTTACAATATAATGTTACAATTAATACATTATCTTTAGATAAAACTAATAAAAATAATACATTAAAATTTTTTCTAAAATAATATTTTAACTAATCTTTTTATAAGTACCCATTAACCAAACCATTCTACTGTGATAAATAATACCAAATACTTTTGCCAGATCCTAATCAATCTAAAACTAATTATAATTAGTCGATTATTTTTTAAATTAATTGATATATTATTAAAGTTAATATTTAAAATCATGAATTTAAAAAAATTTATATATATAATGTTTTTTTTAATCAAATAAATAGTAAAATAAAAAATTTTCAAAAAAAAAAAAAAGGCAATTAGGTTTTGCTTTCATTGTTTGTATCCGAATCCCAACCAGGAAGACAAGGAAAAGAAATCATACATGTCACCTTGAATCTTCTGCATTCAAACCCGGTGGGCCAGAGCCCACCTGAACACCTCAATCTCAACGCCCTTCATGCCTCTCAACCAACGACCTGGATCCCACCTGGCATCCCAATAAACGGTCCTGATCAACCCCATTTGTGGGGGCCATGTTATAATGGGCTGTATATAATTGGGGAACCCATGCCACTGATGCTTTGGACAACCATCAAATCATGAGTGAATGACGATGATTTGGAACCAGACAGAAAAACTTTTTTTTTTTTGGGGTTGTCAAAGTAGGACCCAAGCCAGCCTCTTATCTTTTGCAGAATCCCACCTCTCCATGCGAATACCACGAGGGGGCGTTAGACAAAAGCGTCCCTTTGTTTACCTATTCTATTACAACAAAAACACTTTCATTCCTCTGTTTTTTTTGTTCTGATGTTGTCTGGTGCGCATCTTGGAGCGTAGATTCATGCTCGATAAAACGGATGACTTGGATTGATCGTATCGGGGAAGATGAAGCGTGATCATGACGCAAGGAAAAGTGCATCGATAGGAGTCTAGGTGGAGAAAAGGCAATTTAATTGAAATTTCGCTGGTAACAAAATGACTTGGCTCAATTGGCTGATTGACGTTTAGCCAACGGGAAAAAGAAAGGAGACAAGGGGGAGTGGACTTCACGTGGGAGGAAGGGGCGCTAGAAATGAGGGGAAAGGGGAAGCGTGGAAGGGAAAACCTCTCCTAACTCACGTGGACCAACATGTCTTGCTTGGGGACACGTGCCCTGTGGGCTGCCCACCCTCCATTCCCCTTCTGCCCATAGTCGTGCGTGTCACTTTGTCGCTCCACGCCCCGACAACTCTATCCCTCGTAATCATTTGAAACTCCCCCCCCACCTTCCCTTCCCTCCACGCTCCCTCTTCCCGCCTGCATACCACCTTCCCCTCACTCACCGCTTGATCTCCGCAGCCTCAACTCCACGCTGCGTGACACAGGCTTGGGATTCCTCCCTGGGAGCCGTTAATTTGAGCCTATCGCTATCTCCAGGTTTCATGCAACTTGGTCCCCAGCCAGCAGTATCCCTATGATTCGAAATGACCAAATAGTCCCTCATATACATGAGCTAATCATTACAGGCTGCTTAATTGTAGTTTAAAATTTCTCTCTCCCTACGGCTGCATCATGGGTTGAACGGGAAAGGTGAGCATCTAGATCATGGTTAGGAATGTGTCATTCAATGTCTGGGTTCCTGCTCTCCTCAACTTCACCATCAAAATAGCACTTCCTACACTACATATCCCATCAATCATATCAACCTTTTTCCAAACATATAATAGAATGCCTTAAAAGGCCAAGGATTGGTGATTAAAACTTAATTTTTTATTATTTCAAATATAAAACATAAAAAAAAAAAATCAATTGCAAAGCCATGAGGGGATGATTGCGTGAAAAAGAATGGTCAATTGAGAATACATTGAATAATTCGTTGTGATGCATGGCACAACTCATTTAAACATATCTTAAAATTATTAAAAGAACTTCACGTCGTCGAAAAAATCTTTTTGATAAAATTATTTTTTTAATTTTATATTTGGTATAATTTTAATTTTATAATTTTGTATATCTTTTATGTTGGTTTGATAAAAATATTAAATTTTAATATGAAAATTTGATTTTTTTAATCACATATTAAAATATATAAAAATATAATATATACATAAAAATTTAAATTTATAAAATATTTTTTATAAAATAAAATCATAAAATTTTTAAATTAAAATAATAATACTTTATAAATTATATACGATCTCCACAAAAATTATATATATATATATATATATTTTTTTTCTTGAATTTTGGTAAGGTTGTCTGACAGCTAACTTTAAAAACGTGACAACCAACTAGCTAGCTACCATGAAAATCAACAAT